TGCTATAAGTAACACAATTTGTAAAATCTTTAAAACTAAATGTCTGTGATAAATATTTTATCAAATCCGTTCGCATACCTTTGGTTGACCCATTTTTTAGTCGTTTCCACATATACCAAAATTATAACACAGTACATTTGTTTCCACTTATTTAAAAAGCTGTTTCCGGTTGAGATAATGTGCACACATCAATATTTCTAGAATTGCCAATAAGAGCACTATTTAAACACATTCTTGTAAACAATGTATGCACCAAATTACGTGTGTGTGTCTGGGAATTTAGGAATTACAGAGTCCCTAACGACATATGAGTCATAAAGAAAAAAGTAAACAAAAAATGCCATCACTATTACAGTTTATTCCACTAAATGCTGCTAGAGTCCTCTGTGTATTTTACAGAGAAGATGAGTAATTCTACTCAGTTTTTGTCACTTCTTACACTCAATGCTGCTAGAGTCCTCTGTGTATTTTACAGAGAAGATGAGTAATTTTCTCAGTTTTTGTCACTTCTTACACTAAATGCTGCTGGAGTCCTCTGTGTATTTTACAGAGAAGATGAGTAATTTTCTCAGTTTTTGTCACTTCTTACACTGGATGCTGCTAGAGTCCTCTGTGTATTTTACAGAGAAGATGAGTAATTTTCTCAGTTTTTGTCACTTCTTACACTAAATGCTGCTGGAGTCCTCTGTGTATTTTACAGAGAAGATGAGTAATTTTACTCAGTTTTTGTCACTTCTTACACTGAATGCTGCTGGAGTCCTCTGTGTATTTTACAGAGAAGATGAGTAATTTTCTCAGTTTTTGTCACTTCTTTACACTGAATGCTGCTGGAGTCCTCTGTGTATTTTACAGAGAAGATGAGTAATTTTCTCAGTTTTTGTAACTTCTTACACTGGATAGATGAGTAATTTTACTCAGTTTTGTCACTTCTTACACTGAATGCTGCTGGAGTCCTCTGTGTATTTTACAGAGAAGATGAGTATTTTACTCAGTTTTTGTCACTTCTTTACAGTTAATGCTGCTGGAGTCCTCTGTGTATTTTACAGAGAAGATGAGTAATTTTACTCAGTTTTTGTCACTTCTTACACTGAATGCTGTAACAGACAGACATTTAATTAAAGATTACTCAGCATGATGCATTATTCGGACCCAACCGGTGGTGAAAGATATAACATAAGTTCTATAATTGGAAGGTTAACTCGTGGACAAAATATGATGGAAATCCGCTGAATATTTTTGGTGTTATAATCTGATAACAGTAAAGAAAGTTCCTGACGTTGTTTTGATGAACGTTACATTTTTACTCACAGTATATTATTTGTCCATTTGCCCATAAGATATATAAACTTTTCTTCTCACACATCTCTTTAGGTTTGCTTATTACCGCTGACGCCCGAGTTTTAGTAGTTTAGAACTTGCCCTTGGCTAAATAACATCACGATTATCTATCTAGTGAGACAGAAACATCGATTTTGAAGAAATTCTTGTTAATATTTATTTTCAGTCGGATATATATTCTGTCAATCTACGTAGCTAGTTATTACTGTTTCTGCTCGTTGAATTATTTTGAGCAGTAACATAATTTAAATCACTTACACAACCTACTCTTATCTTATTGCCATTTCAGAAAGGTCTCTCGTAGAATCCTCAACCGACGAAAGTTTGAAGTGGGTGTACTTCAATATTATAAAGTAGATTATCCGCATCAGCAGCTTTCACGTGTTTTAGATGACTAGTCGTGCTACTCATTCGTGGGCTTTTGGAAACGATCTGAAACTGGCATTTACGATAGCCAATATATAAGAACACCTACAAGCAGAAGTTAACCATCTGCGGATTTATTGCGTATGAAACTGAAAAAAGAAGAAGAAAAAAACTGAGTGATTTATTAGATATTTAAAAAATAGTAAAAGTATTTAAAGATATATAATTCTATTAAAACTTCCCCCCTTTTCCCCCTCAGTGTTTGAAAATAGATTTTTTTTTTAGGTATAATTTTGTGTTTTTATTTCGAATCTAAAATGAAATGGCCCGATGTTACAAAATTTCGGGGACAGTACACGATTCTAAATCAATCTCTCTTTCAGGTAAAATTCGGGTGCGAAACGTCATTTTTGTGTTTGTGTTTGGCTACCTAACCCTCGTAACATAATTCCGACTGAAACTAAATACTTATGATTTTATCATCTCTTACTGGTGTATGTATTTACGTACATTGTTTTAAATTATCAACTTAGAAAACGTGGATCATGTAATGACGTTGACTTTCTGATGTATTTCAATATAGTACATTCTGTAAACTTATACTAACTCCCCTAATACATTCTGTAAACTTATATTAACTCCCCCAGTACATTCTGTAAACTTATATTAACTCCCCCAGTACATTCTGTAAACTTATATTAACTCCCCTAGTACATTCTGTAAACTTAAATTAACTCCCCTAGTACATTCTGTAAACTTAAATTAACTCCCCTAGTACATTCTGTAAACTTATATTAACTCCCCCAGTACATTCTGTAAACTTATATTAACTCCTCTTCTCAGTATAATATCCCTGAGTCCCGTGATGGTTCAGCGGTAAGCTTAAGGGCTTATAACACTAAAATTCAAGGCTCGATCCATGAGATAGGCAAGTACTAATGGCCACTTTTGTGCTCAACAACAAACAAATCAACTAAGAGTAAAATGAATATGTAAAATAGTTTATTTTATTTGTGTTTCTGAGTTGGTTACACATTTTTAGAATTGTTTCGCAAAGCTGCATAAGGGTTTATATGCGCATAGCTGTCTCTAACTTTGGACTGATAGACTAGAGAGAAGACGAGTAGTCAACAGCACCCACCGCCACTCATGAACTACCTCTGTCTGATCCACTAATGGGATTTGACTTTCACTCCTATAGCGCACCGCGGACACAAAGTACGGAGCGCTTTTTTGTGTGTACGAAAACAGGACACAGACTACTAGGCTACGTCCTATATATATATATATAATAAGTTGCTTTGTTATAAAAAAAACGTTTCTCTCCATTCTGTCATTGTTCTGGCGTTCTGTTGCCGTGGATAATAAATCAGACATTTATCGAATTAGATTTAAATTCCTTTGATACTTTAACAGCTAAGCAGTGAGCTTAAGGGTATACATTGCAATAATTCGTGGATCGAACCTTGTGATAGACACAGCACAGATAGCCCATGGTGGAGTTTTGCGCCAAAACAAAAACTCCAGGACCTGGCATGTCCAGGTGATTATTGCGCTTGACTCGCAATCTGCGGGTCGAGGGTTCGAATTCCAGTCACCGAACATTCTCGCCCTTTCAACCATGGGGGCGTTATAATGTTACAGCCAATCTCACTATTCGCTGGTAAAAGAGTAGCCCAATAGTTGGCGGAGGGTGGTGAATATTAGCAGCTTTCCCTCTAGTCTTTCACTGCTAAGTTAGGGACGGCTAGCGCAGATAGTCTCTTGTAGCTTTACGCGAATTTTTTTGTTTGTTTGTATCGACACCCGGTTTCTAGCGTTGTAAGTCCGCAGACATACCGCTGTGCCACTGGAGGGCTTACGCGAAATTCAAAACAAAAAAAAAACGTTCACTCCAGAGAAAAGAGATTTAAAATTATTTCAGTCGTGAAATAAACTAATTACTCAGTATTTTGCTAAAGATAATTTCGAAATTATATTTATCTGTTATTTGCTCCCTGTTTGCGAGAGTACAAAACAACTTTAAGATAAAAATAAACAGAACATTAAACCGTTCGTCTTTATCAAGTACCAACGATAATATCATAAATTTTTCAATTCACTGTGAGGCCTTTCCGAAAGAAATAAGAAAAAGCTCAACTTTTATGCTATTTTCCATTCTGACAACAAAAGAATATACATATTCAGACTGCAGAAAGTGGTTTTAATAACGGTTTTTCCATAATTCAGCTACGCAGGTTTTTAAAATAATATTAGTTTTTTTTTCTATCACGTAAGGATTTTTCTAAAAATCGAGAAGAAGAAGAAAAAAAAAACTCTTACTTAGATCAAATTTACCACAAATATAACAGAATATGTTTGGGTAATTTACACAATCTCTTGTTGCCATAGCGACGAATATATAATGTTGAAAAGAAAAAAATATTGTCAAAGTGCACGCACAAACAAACACTATCCAGAAATGACACGTCATGCGTCTGTTAACCGTTTACATACTAGCGGTATGTTTCTCGTGGGTTCTAGAACGATCGATAAGACTCTCACGTCGCGATTGGTCTAGAGAAATCTATAGCCAGTGGTTTTCAACATGTTAAGCATAATAAAATGTAGCCCGATTTCAATGAAAATGATTCACTTATGTAAAAGTACATATGACGTTTTGTGAAAAATCTGTACGTGATGGAGAAATATGAATATCATTTTCGGATTCAGCGTACAGGAATTACTGTAGAACATGTAAAAATATCAAGACATCGCAGGCCTGTGTAATGACTACATTTTAACTGGCTCTTTTTGTTAATTTGTATCGTGATATAGGTATTCTTATCCTACGTGTTACAGTTTTTAATACAAGAATTTAGCGCTCAACGGTATGTATCCTGAATCCCGATACTATTTTATAACTTAGGTATGGTTTTTCTCTACTTTTGGTAAACTATAAAAACACTAACCATTAAGGATATGGGAAAAGAAAATGCAACATACAATTTGATATATATCCCACCATATCAGCGTAACTTTACACATTAAAGAAACTGAAAAATGTGACGTTGGTGTCCTGATTTATTCTCACCCATAATTCCAGAACGAAAAACGTTAAAAAAGTATAAGCGAATTCACTGAACTCTAAAGGAAGTCTTGAATGCTAGTTCTTTATTCCGTTCGTATATCACTGGGAACACAAGAATTTGAGGTGTCTCCCTGGAATTCTTTCACTTTCAGTGTGGATTTATTTCTGTTGGTTCGAACACCAGCTTCAGTTGCACTTTGACAGTTAATGGATCTGTGGAAGGTTATCGACTCTTTCAAATGATATTCTTTACCGCGTTCATACGCCTTGTAATCAGCTGCGTGTTTATCCTACGCTTATTGGTGGAACGCAATAGGGTTGTCAAGACCCGGTTTAAAACTCACTGATTCTAGAGCCTCGTTTTCGTCTCTCCGTGAGTAAGACGCTTCCATGCACGCAGTCTGTGCACACAGTGTGGACCAGTCGTAACAAGGCTTATTAATAAACGCTAGAGAAACACTGGTGTGGGAGATTTGATAATTTGTCTCTCCTTCTTCTCAGAGAACGATTTATTTTCTACTCGCCTGCCTTCCTGTCATTGCATGGGCTACACTTCTTCGCCAGCTTCAGGATATTTCCACATGTGAAAGGTACACCAAAAACAGGTAAGTTTCGGGTTAGCGATCACGCTCTGTTATTTAGCTGTAAAACGTTGTGTTTTTTTTTTATACAACCAACTATATTTTTTTTAATTTCAAAGCTTTTTTTTTAGTAAATAAAAAGAACGAAGGAAAAGAAGTATATTCTTATCCAAACTATTTTAACTATCATCACATTGTTGTCACGCTAGTTTGTTTGTCTTTTAAATGAGGACGTCTCAGTGATATCTCATGATATTACATATAATTACATTTATTTATTTAACCACATGGATACATTAGTTTACGTTTTAAGATATATCTTGTTTATATCTTCTTCTTATATTTTTACAAATTATGAGTATCGCCTACTGCCTCTAAATAATTGATTTATATCTTGTAAAATAAATCTGGGGGAGAATTTAAATGAACCGCATAATGTATAGTTTTCTTCACATAAACTATAATTCACGTTGTGCAGTATATAGTGTGTGTTTCTGAAAAGGCTGTGACCGCGCTGCACTGTAATATTGTGTATCTATAATCTGAGGATCGTCAAGAATATGAATTGATCATTGGGATCATAATCCGCTCAGCTCACTTCTGGCTTACAGTGAGCGCATTTCACTTACGATCGATGTTGGATTTTTCAAAATGGCCGAGCCTGGCCAAATGGTAATGATCGACAGCAAATTTTACTGGGTGGGGAGTGATAATACTCTGACTCCTTTTTTTCTTCCTTTTCAGATAAGTAAAATTTTGTAGGAATTAGTAAAAATTTGGAAAAGGAAATAAATTATAAATGTTACCATAGCCCTGTGCACGTAAGCTAAAGTTACAGTAACTAGGCTAGTTTTACGCCTTATGTGTAGTCTGCTAGCGATACCCGAAATGGTGTGAGTTGCTCACACTTGTCCAGTCTGGGGGCATTTAAAGTTATTCTGGATAGAATAAGCATCCGACATGCACTTTAAATACAGAGACTTAAAGGTGTGAATATTTAGAGTATTCTGCAAGGCTACACATAGTGTGTATACATTGCTCTTGATATCAATATGAAAAAGCTCCCCCTCCCCTAAGTGGCTCAGCGCTAAGTCTGAAGATTTATAATGCTAAAAACTGGATTTCGACAATCGTGGTGGGCACAGCACAGATAGCCCTTTGTTATATTTTATGTGGGGAGATGTGCGTATTGATAAAAGATCCCAGGTATCCATGAGGTTAGAGGGGATCACGGACACACGTTCATTGTCATTAAGAACAGGAAAGAATGATCTGAGATCCAGAAAAATAAAGGTTAATCAGAACAAACGTTAGGTTAAAAATATCTCATTCTGGTATTCAGAGACATGGAGCTAGGATTTTCGAGACAAATGTTTAGTACCATGGAAAATGGAAGTTAATCTGAACAAACGTTATGTTAAAAGTATCTCATTCTGGTATTCAGAGACATGGAGCTAGGATTTTCGAGACAAATGTTTAGTACCATGGAAAATGGAAGTTAATCTGAACAAACGTTATGTTAAAAGTATCTCATTCTGGTATTCAGAGACATGGAGCTAGGATGGTCGAGACAAGTGTTTAGTACCATGGAAAATTGAGGCTAGTCTGAACAAACGTCAGTTGAAAAAAATATCTTATTCTGGTATTCAGAGACATGGAGCTAGGATGGTCGAGACAAGTGTTTAGTACCATGGAAAAGGGGGGTTAATTTTTAGAGATAGCTTTTAGTAAAGAGAATTGTATTTTTAAATATTTTTGGTATCATGAAGAATAAGTGACCCCTCCATAGACAGACAACTGATACAAACAGTACATTGGTTTTAGTTCATTTATGTGTTTTTGTCAAGCATTTTGTATTTTCTTTGTGGATAAAGAATTCCGGGTAATCATAACACACACACATACAAAGAGTGGACGTATGTATTTATAGTGTATATATATATATATCCAATATACAATGCCTTGAATTCTTAAGCCAGAGATACACGAACAAATTTTATTATGAAATTTAGTTGGCAACAAATAATAGACAACTGAAATGTTGGAAATGGAGCAGTGGTCTATTCGAATAATTCAACTTCCAGTTGAGATCCGGATAAACCTGTTGTATGAAGAAGACCAGAAATTCATTCCTTGGCATTGCTGAGAAGAAAATACAATTCAGATAAACCATTAGTATTAGGCATGAAAGGTGGTTCTAAAAGGTCTGATTCCAGCATCGTAGCAGATAGGTGGTGGTGGTCTAGGTTATTTCTGGTATAAGATGAAAGAATAAAGTTTGATACCCAAGAAGATGTTATCAGGTCCAAATATATGCTTTATACCAAGAAGATGATCATGGTCCAAACATATGCTTTATACCAAGAAGATGTTATCCTGATCCAAACATATGCTTTATACCAAAAGGATATTATCATGATCTAAACATATTCTTTATACCAAAGTGATGTTACCAGGGGTCTAAACATATTCTTTATATAAAGAGGATGTTATGAGGATCGAAACATATTCTTTATACCAAGCTGATGTTAACAGGGATCTAAACATATTCTTTATATGAAGAGGATGTTATCAGGATCGAAACATATTCTTTATATCAAGATGATGTTACCATGACCTAAGCATATTCTTTATACCTTGGATAATCAGAACAACAGTGCGAAGACACCCTTTACTCTGTCTAGTTAAAAATAAAGGGTCTAGATATCTATATAAAATTATGTTAACTTTTCAATGCCTAGGAAGGTTCGGGACATGTCTGAATATCCTGAAACATGAAGGACATGTTTTGGATATACAGTCGTTATATTTCCTGGTGTATGAGAATCATGTTTAGATAGATTTCTAACATTCGAAAAAAAAACAAACGAAGAGCGTGTTTAAGTTATCCCTTAGATGAATCTTGCGAGAGTAGGCATTTGTTACTCTAAAGAGCGGAGAACATGCTTTAGATGTACTTTAGTGTCCTAGAGGATGGGATCATGCCTGGGTGAATGTTTGATATCCCCAACCAGTAAAGAGTGTGCTTTAGATGTACTTTAGTGTCCTGGAGGATGGGATCATGCCTGGGTGAATGTTTGATATCCCAACCAGTAAAGAATGTGCTTTAGATGTACTTTAGTGTCCTGGAGGATGGGATCATGCCTGGGTGAATGTTTGATATCCCGAACCAGTAAAGAGTGTGCTTTAGATGTACTTTAGTGTCCTGGAGGATGGGATCATGCCTGGGTGAATGTTTGATATCTGAATCTATAAAGGGCATGTTTTAGATGTACTTTATTGTCTTGGAGGATGGGATCATACCTGGGTGAATGTTTGATATCCTAACTAACGAAGGACATGTTTTAGATGTGCTTTATTGTCCAGGAGAATGGGATCATGTCTGGGTGAATGTTTGATATCTCAATCAATGAAGGATGTGGTTTAGACGTACTTTAGTATCCTGGAGGATGGGATCATGCATGGGTGAATGTTTGATATCTTAATTTATGAAGGGTATGCTTTAGATGTGCTTTATTTTCCTGGAGGATGGAACCATGACTGGATTGAAATTTGATATTCTGACAAATCAAGGGCATGCTTTTGATGTATTTCAGTATCCTGAAGGATGGGATCATGCATAGATGGATATTTGATATTCTACCAATGAAGAGCATCTCTTGAGTGTACCCCAGTTATCCTGGAGGATGAGAATCCTGTCCAGATATATATATATATATATATATCTGATTTCCTAAATAATTACGACCATCTTTTGAATG